GTACTCTATCTTACTTTTTTTTTCTCGTCTTCTTAAATGGCTAATGCAAGGAACTCATCTAGAGTTTCTGTATCTGTTTAAGCATCAAAGATGTTGAAGACTGGGGCTTTGATCTTGCATCTGGTGTTGGCGGATAGATCAAGAAGAAGCAAGTCCAATCTGCTGTGGAACAGTATATTTCTAATATTTGCTCTTCATATTTTACTCATAACTTTTTTATTTTTCATATTCGTACTCTATCTTACTTTTTTTTTCTCGTCTTCTTAAATGGCTAATGCAAGGAACTCATCTAGAGTTTCTGTATCTGTTTAAGCATCAAAGATGTTGAAGACTGGGGCTTTGATCTTGCATCTGGTGTTGGCGGATAGATCAAGAAGAAGCAAGTCCAATCTGCTGTGGAACAGTATATTTCTAATATTTGCTCTTCATATTTTACTCATAACTTTTTTATTTTTCATATTCATTTATCATTTGATAATGATGATTTTTTTGATCAAGTCCGATCTGTCATCTTGGTAGTTTTGCTTTTACTTATTGGAAATTGGAAATAATTAACAATAATATAATATATTCTATTCATGTGTTTGTATTTTCAGTAACAGTAGAATACATTTTTTAATATTCTTTTTGGAATTATGGTCACAGCATATTTTTGAACTTAAAACGATTGAACTTTAAAATAGAAAGGATGATAGTTTTTCTCTTAAATAAAGAATTTGCAACCTAAAACTATTTAAGGATATAGCAGTTTTGAATCAGTGAATTCTGTTCAGTTTGGTACAATTGAAAAGCATGAATATATTTTAATGGATAGTTTAAAAAAAAAAAATTGGCTAGGTATGAGAAGTACCAAGTCTGCCATGGTGGGGATGAGAAAACAAGAAAAGCTAACTACAGTGATATGGTAAGTTATTTAGTAATCCTCTCAACTTTTATAATATGTACTTAGATATTGAGGATTCTCCTCTCTGTATTATTTATAGCTCTGTTTATGTATTGTTTTCCTCTTCCTCTTTTCTTTTCCTTTACCAATGCGTAACTCTCTCTTAAGCATGCACTTTGTCCTGTAATTCCATGCATTGGATGATAATCATTATTCCAAGTGAAGTGAAATGAGATTATAAGTAATGCTAGCAATTTAGCATGATATATTGAGGAATTAAGAGTAGAGGTTCAGGAGTTCATGTTGAAACTAATCAGCTGGCCTCAGCCCATGCATAATTTATAACATAGAGATGTATTTTCTGAACCTGTCGACTTTCCATACCTAAACAATTGTTGCTGGCAGCATATGTCAGATTCCTGAAGTTAGGTCTGCACAGTATTTTCTTATTTCATAGTTGTCTGTAGCCTTTTTCGAGTTACCTAGAGTTCAATATTTTCACAGAAGGTTGTAGACATATTTTTTGGGAAACTCTAGAATGAAATAAAAATTGTATCTTGAGTCTCCTTCTATGACCATTCAAAGGTCACTCAAGAAACTAAACTCCAGGTACTCAGAGCTACATGTTTCAATTGCATATTTCTCATACCTTGAGTTCTATCATGATGATGATATGAGATTATGTAGAGTACAGAAGTAGGGCTCAGTTTAATAATTATATCATCACAATGATAAAATTTTAATTGCAGTTCCATGTGTGAGAGATTTTACGTAGCATTACATAATCTAAAAGGGCAGTGTTTAGACATCTCAATTCAGCCATGCAAATGCTTGACGATACGATCTTCTCTATGTAACCTTCAAAAAGGAAGCTTATATACCTGCACCTTTGTTCTTTATATCTGGCTGCTTTTGATTCTGAGTAAAAGTTAATACTTTTTTATTGAAGACTGAATAAATATACCTTTTAAGTTAATCTAGTCTTGATTCAAATAGCCACTGATAGACACTGGGAAGCTTTTCTTTCTTCTTTCTTTGCAATAGTTCAGTCATTAATTTTTCTTTGCTGACAAATCATGCTCAATAGTGCAAGAATATTTAGAATGATTCTAATCAAGGTAAATAGTTTTTAATTCATTAACCTCTTGAGAGATCTGTTTTTTTTAATTTTTTTTACAAACCATTATTATATGTTGAGGTTCTCGCTGTTGAGGTTCAGTGTAGCGCTAAAGAACATTGATGCATTTTTTACCAAACAAGTTTGACTGTCTCTGCTGCATCCATCTCATGTGTTCAGGTAAAAATACTATGACCTTGTTACCTGCTTCTATGAATGTGGCGCGAGTCCTTTCACTTTGCTCCCAGGTTAGTATGACCTTCATAGCTCGTTAGGGATTGGAGGTTTTCATATATAACTGCTGCTGGTTAGTTCCTGATTGCTTATGATAACAATAAGGTGTTAATAATGCTGCAAATTCTTCCTTTTCAGATGGAAGGGAGATTCTTTGCACGAAAGCATCAAGCGACATGAACACTTTCTTGCACTGCAACTAGGATTGACAAGTGGAATGAAGGTCTAGACTTCTAATTGCTTATTAGTTATGACAAATGTTGATCACATATAGTTTCTATTGCATAACATGTTTCAACTGTAGGTGTTGGATGTTGGTTGTGGAATCGATGGACCATTGAGAGAAATAGCTAGGTTCAGGTAAAAAATAAGACCGTCTTGGTTTGTTTTGTAATTTTTCTGAGCTTAATTTCCTTAACCGTGTTTTGTAATAGCCTAGTACTTTTCTTGCTTTCTCGAAGCATCAATCACTTCTTTGTATTAATTATGTGACATTTTCTCCTATTTTCTAAAATTTAAAGTTTCAATCTTCCATGCATCCACAGAGTCGTTCACTAATGTAGAAAAAGTTGTTGTAAATCAACTTGCCTGAAGTGAAAATTGTAGAACTTGCTAAGCTTGTTGTTCAGTTTGAAGATTATATTTATGGAAACAAATACTAGTCACATGATATTCCCAAAACAAAAGGAATTAAGCAATCTACTATAACAAATTTTTTGGCAAAATGTTTCCATGAATATCTTAGGCTTCAACTCAATCTGGGACGATAGTGATCCTAAAACATGTATGAATTTTGCAGCTCAACATTCATTACTGGATGAACAACAATGATTGCCAGATATCAAGGGGAATGGTAAGCGCACGTCTTTTTTAACTTCTATTGTATTCCACATTATGCTCCAGAGAATTATGAACATTAACTCTCTACGTGTTTATAGCAAGTCACAATAAATTGATTGTGGAGAAAATTACTAATGAACATTGCCATACAGGAGCTAAACAATATATCAGGACTGGGTGAAAGATGCAATTTTGTTAAGGTACATTATATTTCCCTATTTCTCCCGTCCTCTCATGCATTCTGATCATTCATTATGCTTTCTAAAGAGGACTAAGCTTTTTTTAATAGCAAGAATCACATTGTCATTAAACTTGTTCCTCAGAGAGTTGCTACAGTGTAGTGGTAAACAATCCAGAATTACCTAAATCCCCTCTAATCTTTTATTGCGTAGATGCAGGCTGATTTCCTGAAATTGCCATTTGCAGACAACACTTTTGATGCAGTTTATACAATAGAACCCACATGCCATGCTCCTGATGCGGTTGGTACATTCCACTATGATGATTTCCAATTTTCTTTGTGCAGATATATACCTCTTTACTTTTATTTGAGACAGCTAGGATGTTATAAGGAGATTTTCGCAGTTTTGAAGCCTGGTCCATGTGTTGCTGCCTATGAGTGTTGCATGACCAATCATTTTGATCCTGAAAATGAAGTACATCAAATGATTAAGTCTGAACTTGAGCTCAGTAATGGCCTTCCAGATATAAGATCAACAAGTCAATGTCTTGTGGCTCTGAAACTTGCCGGATTTGAGGTAATGAATCCTGCAGAATTTTTTTTTTTTGGGGAATAATTGTGGGTGAAAGTCCCCCCATTTCATGAATAAGGTTTTAATGAAACACCTCCGTCTAAATTGAAAGTGTTTTCAACTCTTGCACAAGTTACGGAATCAAAAACCAATTGTTCTTGAAGGGGTCATGGTAGAGATCACAAATTGGACAAAATATCAACATCCACACACACACACACACACACACACACACACAAGCGTTGTTTGCGGATAGACCCCCCGTACTATTGCCTGCTTGCAGATAAACCCTCTGTATTTCTCTGGTTGCAGATAGGCCCCCTGACTGAATTTTTTTGATGCTTTGCCCCTCAGAGAAAGAGAACTTTTTTTTGGCTGACAAATAGACCTTGGGGTAATAGAGTAAAAAATTTCACTCTGGGGGTCTATCTGCAACTGGGAAATGGAACAGGGGGTCCATCTGCAATTAAAACAAAGAAGTCAAACTGTCTTCACAAAAGCAAAAATTCTGGCTGACAAGTTATAAAGCACAGCAGTCGTCCTCCATATTACAGAAGCAAAACATAGTCAAGCAGTCACCATTTGAAACATGTTATATTCTCATTTCTCATATAATTTGAAATTTGATCTTGCTGTTTTAAAGGTTGTCTGGGAGAAGGACCTTGCTGTAGATTCACCTCTGCCATGGTATTTGCCATTGGATATTAATGTCTTCTCTATAACTAGATTTCGATTGACATCATTTGGACGATTCATCACCAAATCCTTTGTAATTACATAACAACTAAGCACCCTCATGTTAAAAGCAAATTGTTTTTTTCCAATATTAGTCTCTTAAATCTTTTCTATTTTGAAATTAATCCCTCAAATCAATCATTGGATTGCTACTAGGTCCCTCAATTCACATATGTTGTTTAAAATTAATCCCTCTAATTGCCACGTCTATTCTTGATTGGAGGGGCTACTTTCTTAAGAATTTGGGGGACCTAATAGCAGTTCCAATGAATTTGGGTGACCTCAATTCACACTATGTGAAATTATGAAAGATTCAAGGGACTAATGTTGAAAAACCCTTTTTAACTAATGTCTTTTTTTTTGGGTGGGGGGTTAATTAAGCAGCTTTTCGACTTTGCAGGTGAAGACACTACAATTTGTGGGTCTTTCTCCTGCCGGAAGCGATAGAGATTCTTCATTCTTAGAGAAGGCAGCTGGAGGGCTTGTTGAAGGTGGAAGGTAAGTAAATATTTTTGAACAAACTGTGTACTTTTTCCTTCATTTCTTCTGTGTTTTTTAACCCCCATGTAATTGATGTGTACATGCTTTCCTTAAAAAAGTAACTGATGTGTAAATTTGCAGGAAAGAGATATTTACCCCAATGTACTTCTTCATAGTTCGAAAGTCTCGTTCAGATTCTTGAAGGCTCCATAGGAGCAGAAGCCTTCGTGTAATCTTGGCATAGCATATTGCTGGAGAATAAATATCATTTAAAGCTAAGGTTTATCTTATATAAACCTGATGCAAGGTTCTTCTGTCAAAGTCTGCTATAACTTTGTGACTTGAGAAGTATCAGTTGCT